GTCAAGTGAAACATTTTGACGTCTGTATCAGCCGTAGTAAGCCATACATTATCTCAGGCAGAGGCAGACGTGAATTTCGGTTAAATGCACCTTTCCGTTTAAAAACTCCTTTGAGTGATGGGCTCAAATGAAGTACTGTTTGTACTCTGCTTCTCAATGGAAAAACAAGACTGGCTTCACAATAGAATAACAAGGAGACGTGGCCCAATTCTGAACGTGACTCAACGTAAATCGATTCTGAATTTGCCAGCAAACCTAGATATTTCAGAAAAAAGAAAGGTGGTGCAATCAATCAGTTTCGCTGACAGCTTCTCTTTACGGAACATGGAGGCAAGATATCAAACTTTAAAACAGTTGATGTCAAAAAAACCAGAAAGGGAAATCTGCTAGTGGGCTATGACTATTCTTACTGTTGTTATGAATTAATTGCCAGACTTATTTAAATTCTCTGTACACCACCAATGACTCAAAATCTTGCCAGAACAATGATGACTCAGTTACGACATTGATCTCTTACTCTATTTTGCCAAACCAACTTCTGTATATTTTTTGATCTGACTAACAGCTCTTGTTCCATTCACAGAACGATGATGATGCCACTAAAGTAATGCCACAGATGTCCTTTATTACAGAGTCAGCTGAAACGTAAAAATTTTCAACAAGGCTGAATCCATAAGCAATTATGCAAGTGAGGCTTCAATTACATACGAGAAACCGGGAACATTATAGAAAGGAGGAAGGAAGGACATCTGAGTAACCTGACAACATGGTGCAACTCCAATCTGCATAAGAACGGGGGCAATTACAGAAAGGAAAAGGCAAATACAAAGGAAAGATCCGAAGATACTGAAGAAACAGTTGGAAAATAACTCGGCAACTGCAGAAAATGCAGCACAAGAACGACACGGCATATAATCGGATCAAATGAAAAGGATACATCGATAGAAAAATTTCAATCGCAAGATAACTGAAGCCCTGGTAATTCAATCGAATGAATGCATGAAAAAAAATGCAGTTGGGGCAAGGTGGTACTTAGGTCGGCTTTGAATTCTAAGTGAAGGGTTAGAAACTACTGAAGGAACAATTACTGCCTTAACCGCGAATCCATTTGAGCAAGGAATTAACCTCAAGTTGATTCATTACATTCAGCCAAGAAACGGGTATTAAGTCGGTGGCCTGCCAATATGAGGGACACAATAATATTCCGGTCTGGTCATGCAAAAAAAAGACGAGGTGTGCGACCATGCTTTCCAGTGCAAATGCCCTTAATGGCTGCGATTCGCTTTGATCTACCCGATACATAATTATCAATCAGCACAAGGCTCAAAGCCTGATTTCAGTTCACTCCATTTCGTAGAAATCGGCACGAAACAAAGTTTGTATT